GGTATGAGGAAAGGCTGATATGTGAGTGAAATACCCAGAGAGAGGAAGAGATAAAAAAAGGTTCATTACAATGTGCAGATATATATTTCTAAGGGACTCAAAAAAATTCACCATTATACCTAGTTGCCCAAGAAGGAAGAGCCGCTCAGAAAAGTACAATAAATACTGTGATTTTTAATATTTTTGTTTTCTCAATCATTGATCCATTTTACACTGATGAAAATCACTACTCTTTTTTTCTGAGAAAATACATGTGTGTGCCCTAAAAAATACCCATGGATGCTATTTTTTAATTACTTTACTACATGGATGGCTTCTTGGCTCAGATGGGGTTGTGATGTGATGCCCAAGTTCTTAATATTAGTTCTCTTTATAAGTGACCTGCCTGGGCAACTTTTTGATAAACCAGAGTTCATAATTATTTGTAAACCAAAACAATAAACGAGAAAGACAATCTATGAAAAATAAGTTGGAAGGGGGTCATCACGTTTTTTGCTTTCAATTCATATGTGGTATGTACATCTCTATCTCAATAACAAGGCATTATCAAGCCTGGAATAAGATGGATCTCCCCTCAGAACATGCGCTAACTTTTTAGGGAAAGGGGGCACTCCCTTTTCTCCCATAATATCACAGTATCCGCGCATGATATCAGTGTCTGTGCATTCCACAGCTTCACAGAGGGCCAGTAGCTGCACTTACCACTCCGGCCTCGGGGTTCCTCTTCCTTCCATTGCTGAAGGTGGAGGCCAGGGTGGAGGAGCAGCTCTCATCGTACAAGGCTGTCCTGCCGTCGTTGATAGCCGAATTGATGGAGATGGTCCACATGCTGGAGGCGTAGCCATCGCAGTTGCAGTCGTCGTAGCTGCCACCATCCCCAGAGGCCCACACATAGATGCTGCCTTTGCCCCCTCGGCCCTGTGAGAGGACAAGAGAGATGCCACCAATGCCTACACTTGTAGGTTCCAGGGGCTGCAAGGGGGGTGCCCTGCTCCAGGCTGGGGGTCCCACTCAGGGAGGGTCAGGACTTGGGCTTCTTCAGCAGCTGAATGAAATGATTTGATTCAGTTGTGTCTGCCTGTGAAAACGACTATCTTGGTGGGGCACCATGAGCATTTTTTTCTTTTTTCAGGAAAGACTCAATATAAAAAGCCATCTAAATTTACAGTTTAAGTTGGGGATAACGAGGTGAGAAAAGCTGGAAGAATCTCCATAAAATTTTCAAATGAACTACTTTTAAAAAGCTATAAAGGTAGTATTTTCTCATGGTAAAAAGTCAAAGTATATGGAAAAGCAAATGAAAAAAAAATCTCCCCACATGTAATCATTATCCTTCTTTTGTATCCTTTCAGACATTTTCTCTCAAAAATGTAAGTATACATATACATTTATACTTAGCTATAAAAGATAGAAAGGATATTTATATATCTTTTATTTTATATTTAGTTATATATCTTTTATATATGTTTATATTATATGTAAATATTGTAAGTATAACATACACATTTTACTCCAAAATATATAAATATTACAGATTACATATGTACATATATACACAAATATACACATGTATAATATGCACATGTACATATATGTATGTGTACACATGCATGTATGGATATGTATATGCATGCAAACACACAAACATACACATATATATGTACATGTATATATGTGCCTATATACATACAATATATGTTACATATAGATCATACTATAATTCTTTTAAACACAATATATGACATTTTACTTGTCATATATTTAAGGGAATACCAAATATGGGAGGAAAGTCTAATACGATCAAGTAAAACACAGAGCAAAAATAACTTTAAACACATAATGTTATGCACAATGTTATTACCAAATACTAATTAGTTATAAATGGCAAGCTTTGTTATAAATACCTACAGTTAGTATTGCTTTTCTGTTCAATGTTCTTAGTTTCAACAAAACTGTTTTTTTCTTTTCCCTTTTTCTGTCTTCCACCTTCATCACCCAGGAGTGGCCATTCCTTTGGCTTCCTATGTTCTGACCCCGGGGGCAGTAGGGCTAGGGCTACTCTGTGGGCTGGGTGGGAGGAGAGGAGAGCAGCGATGCAGTGTGGGAGGCGAGCAGCCAGTGTACACTATCCCTCTACAGCCTGGCCTAGTCGGCTCGGTAACCCTCTAAGATCGAGAAGCCAAATAGAAACTATGGCAGAATAAAAAACATGGCCACCGGGTCCATGGTCTTGCCTCAGTGGTTTAAGAGAGATGCCAGAAGGAAGGGAGGTGACTGGCTTTCCTTCAAGGTCTCTCTGCCTCCCGATCATGAGAAGTGACATTTCGATTGCTTCTAACAGGACTTGGAGTTAATTAGCTTGTGATTGATTGTTTTAATACATCAGCAAAGATTTATTTAGCCACTAGCCGAGAACTGTCCTTAGTGTCTTGGTATCAATACTAGAAAACTCCACCAAAACAAGCAACTGTTCTCAGAAACCTAGACAGAGAGGGAAACAGATCATCCTTGTAGCTGGGGGTCACATTCTCAAATATACTCAGATGTGGGCTCATTGTCAAGAAATGGCACCCTCTGAAAGTGAAACAAATGCGAATCAGGGTGAATGGGTGAGGCCCACCATCTGTGGAACTTTCCTCTGAACCAGTTCACAGGTGGGCTGCTTAGTGAGAGGAAGCAATGCTAAAAGACAATCAATGCTAAAAGTGTTCTAACCTTGGCGTAGGGAATTCGGTAGATTGTGATTAATTTTTCAGGGTTCCCTGTATTCATGCTCCTTTACAATATGACTTTGCAGTTTTGCCAACCAAAGGGAGGGGTCTATTTCCCACTTCTTGAATCCAGGCTGGCCTCCTGTATTGCTTTGGACAATAGAATGGGATAAAAAGCGATTCTGTGTCAATTCTGAGCATAGGCCTTAAGAAGCCCTATACAGTTGTGCTCTCATTTGGAATTCTGTTGCACTATGGGAAACCAACCCAAAGTTGCCTGCTGGTTGATGACAGACAAATTAGCCCAGTGAAATTTACTGCCCCAGCTTACAGCCAACAACTGCTAGACATGCAAGGGAGTACATTCTAGACCGGACTGTAGCTTGCCCTCTAGCTGACCACAGATGATTGAATGAGGCCAGCTAAGATTAGTTAAGGCTGGTTCAGATTGGCAGAACAACCCAGCTGACCTCTAAACCATGAACACACTCAAGTGGTCGTTATTGTAAGCTACTGAGTTTTGGGGCAATTTGTTATGCTGCCTAGCTCACTGATACACAGGGAGCAACTGTCAGCCTGTTTCTGAAGTGTAAGTAACAAACATTAGTTTTGTATTAGAGTGTAAGACTTACCCACAAGAATACTTTGATTCCTAGGGGTATTGAGCTTCATTTTCTTAAGCAAGATAGAACACATGAGGCAATAATAATTATATCCTAGAAGAACTGCCTCATACTTCTTACTCCTCAAACTTTTGGAATGTTAAAACAGAGAAAAATGACCTTTGGACTGGGCCTAAAGAAACATCTGTGTCAATCAACTGTTTGCAAAGATAACAAGAAAGCAGATATTATGACTACCTGACTGAAAATGAAAACCATTCTTTAGAATTAGCATCACTATGTTAGCTTATCTGCACCTATAGAAATTCCTTCCTTCTATACCCCTTGCCTTTGCTCTCTAATCAGAACACTTTGGGTTTCTGCCTGAATCAGTGCTTCTTGAATAGCTATTCTTTTCAATCTTAAATAAATAAATGCTGTTGCTTCTCACTTTAGCCTTTTATTTTTAGGTTTACACTGTTAAAACAATGTCTCAAGATTCAGTTCTGCCCCTCAGCTTCATCTGAACAGGAACTGGAAGTGACCAAGACACAACAAATGTGACCTACATTTAAATAATAATCAGCTGGAGGATACAACTAAGAAACTAGGATGATAATCATAGCAAGCACTTCTACAGTACCTACTGTATGTCAGGGACTGCTCCAAGTACTTTACATAGTGCTTTACACAGTAGTCCTATGTGGCAGTACTATTCGCACTAGCCACAAGAAGGATAAAATACTTAAGAAGAAAGCCCACAAACTCAAAAAAAAGGCAAGTACTAAATAAGACTGTGAAACTCTATGGAGAGACACAGATAACTTCACCCACTCAAAAGACACATCAACACATCATGTTGTTGAATAGAAAGACAGCATCACAGAGATATCAGTTTCCCCCAAGTTAACTTACAAATTTAACATGATCCTAATAAACATCCTGGGTCAATTGAGATTCAGTCAGGCAAATATTGCCATATTGGGCAGTTCAATAGAGGAAATTTGATCCATAGAATAAGTGGTAAAGAGCCAAAAACCCAAATGAGGCGTGGAGGGCACCCAGAGATTAAACTGGGGGAGACAGCCCAGGAGCCTGCACTGTGAGCAGGAGCTGGGCCAGTGAGGATGGTCTGTCTACTGGGGGTCTCCTATCCTTATTCTGTAGCACATGCTCAGAGAATAGAATGGCAGTTAGACCTGCCTGCACTGTTGACATTGGAATTACCTACTCCCTTTCTATTCCCCTACTACTATTTTTAATCAAAGTATAATCGACATACAATATTATTTAATTTTTTTGAAAAAAGCAGTGTATTTAGATGAAATTAAGTACATGGTGCAATTCCACTCTGAATTCTGTTTTTGAACCAATCTTTTGGAGTTTAGCAGGATTAGTGCTTCTCTAAAATTTTCACCAAATGAGAATTTTTCACTCAGGCACTACATGGTATTTAAAGTATTTTTCACTACATGGTATTTAAAGTAAAAAAGTATTATGGTTTCCGACCAAGGGTAATTTTTGCACCCCAGGGGCCATTTGACACTGTTGAAGACAATTTTGGTGGTCACAATTTTGTGTGTGCACATTGGCATTACTACCATTTAGTGGTAGAGGCCAGGGATGCTACTAAGGTTTTACAACACATAAGACAGTTCCCTATGTCCCCCATAACAAAGAATAATCTGGCCCAAAGTGTCAATTGTGCTGAGGCTGAGAAACTCTGCTCTAATCTACTGGCAAAGGGCAATGAGTTAAAATTTGCTGATTTTTAGGTTACAGCCTAACATAGCCTCTCATTTCTTAAAAGTTCTTGCAGATTTTATATTGTGTTCATAACATAAAAATAATGTCACAAATTGATTACCATCAGCCTAGGTAAAGTTCCAACTAGAGCCAGGTGCTATGGTTCTGCATGTCCCTAGCACATCACCTCTATCTCAGGTGAAAATCTCACTTTGAGAAGATTGGGGCTAAAGTGAGTCAGTCTCTTTACTCTAACCAATGTGTAATAACTTGGGCTAATGACCAGACCAGGTCCTGGCCCAGTGGTGTTATCTGTAGATACCCAGTGAGGCCAGCCTTCTGGTAGTGCTTGCCCTTTCTTAAACACTAAACTATACTAAGTTTTATTTTCCAGTCACCTTGATATCTTAATACAACATTGATAGACTTTAAAAAAGTTGTTATATTTTTTATTATGAAAATCATTCATTGCAGAATAATTGCTATATAGATGATAGTAGAGTATAAAGAAAAAAAGAAAAATTACTTATAGTCTTCCATGATTAGACTATCACTGATGATATTTTGTGGATTTCTGCCAGTTTTATATATAAATGTCAGGAGAGTTTGGAGAAACATGGTGGAGTGAGAGAAATTCCCAGATCTCTCCCTTGAAACAACAATAAGCTGAACATCTAAAACTCAACAAAAAACACCCAAACTGCACACCAGCATGTCTGAGCATGGAATCTGTGCATAAGAGCTACCACAGGTCAGAAACCCAGATGTCGGGCGGTGGACTGGGAGAAATAAAGAAGCTGCCTCTCGCAGCAGCCGGAGCTCCCCGTAGGAGGAGGGGGAAGGGAGAAGGTGTGGCAAG